GTGTTGGCGCCCCAAGTCCCCGCCCCTTCTGGGGCCTGATGGTGAAGAGAAGACATTGGGGTCCCCCCAGTCCCGCGGTTCCCTCAGAGGGAGGCCGCCCTGGAGGGAGGTGTGTGAGGGGATGGGCTGGGAGGGTCTCAGGTGGATGGTGTCCTCTGTCCCTATCTGTGTGTGTGTGTGTGTGTGTGTGTTTTAAGTCAAATTTAATTTAAGTTTTTTAAAAAATATATTTCATTGATTTTAGAGAGGAAAGGAGAGCGGGAGAGAGAAACATCAATGATGATAAGGAATCATTGATCGGCTGCCTCCTGCGCGCCCCCCACTGGGGATGGAGCCCGCAGCCCGGGCAGGTGCCCTTGGCTGGAATCGAACCCGGGACCCCCTCAGTCCGCAGGCTGACTGCTCTATCTATTGAGCCAAACAAGCTAGGGCTTTAATTTAAGTTTTAAAAATCAGAAATTGGGAAAAACAGTGGAGCAAATGAACTCCTAGAAAAGAGGGCTGCGATTTGGGGAGCACATTGATTGGAAGGGTTGGAGTAAAATAAAAATGCCATTTAGCTTGAGGATTTGTGAGTTTCCCGCAAATAAGCTCATTTCCGGAGCAGAAGAATCCTTGGCCATTTCTTCATATCAAAAATGACTCAGGCTTGTCTTCTGAATACCTTCTCCCTTTAAAGACGCAATCATATAAAATCTCCTAATTTCCACACAGGATATATTCTTGGTTTCAACCAACTCTCAGTGGAGGGGCAACTAGGACAACACCATCTCCCCGGACAAAAAGCATGGGAATATTCCCTTTTGTTGATTTATATGTCTCCTCCTATGTTTCTTCATCAATTTCTATAGGGGCCATAGTTTCTTCTACATCTCCCAATATCACATTTCTTTATTTATTTTTAAAAAATATATTTTATTGATTTTTCACAGAGAGGAAGGGAGAGAGATAGAGAGTTAGAAACATCAATGAGAGAGAAACATCGATCAGCTGCCCCCTGCACACCCCCTACTGGGGATGTGCCCGCAACCAAGGTACATGCCCTTAACTGGAATCGAACCCAGGACCTTTCAGTCCGCAGGGCGACGCTCTATCCACTCAGCCAAACCAGTTAGGGTCCTATAGCATATTTAAATGTTAATCATAAGCATGTCATCTACCTCAAAGCTCTCTGTCATTTCTCATCTATCTATACTAATAATAGGGTAATATGCAAATTGGTCAGACTGCCGTCACATAAGGACCAATCAGCAGGCTGCGCGCTCAGCAGGTGGGGATGGGCGGGGAGACCCCTGAGTGCACGAATTTTCTGCACGGGGCCACTAGTGTTCACATAAATTCGCTCATTCAGGCTGAGCCTGATAAGATGCAGGGGCTCTTCTACAGTGTTGGTAGTTTGTTGCTGGTCCACATCGTCCGCCATGTTTCACACCCGGCACCCTTTTCCTCTGTCCCCATCTCGACAGGACCCCGTGACCTTTGACGACGTGGCCGTGTACTTCTCCCGGCGGCAGTGGCGGCTCCTGGACGAGGCTCAGAGACGCCAGTACCATGAGGTGATGCTGGAAAACTTGGCCCTTGCATCCTCTCTGGGTAAGACTCTCACCGTCTCACCGGGGACGTGGACTAGGCTCTGCCCTACCTCCCCCTCCTCCCCCCAGAGGCTGCTCTGTGGACCCCACATGCTCCCCTGAGGACCCCAGGCCCTGCCCTCTTCTCGCTGCCACATTCCCAATACCTGCTGCATTGAACTCTTCTCATAAGGACAGAATACCGTGAGCCTAATGCAGTCCACCATGCTTGCCACCTCCCTGGCCCGGACAGTATATCCAGATCCTAGGTCTTTTTTGTTGTTGTTTTTTTAAAGAAAATATTTTTGATTTCAGGGAGGTAGGGAGAGGGAGAGAGAGATAGAAACACCAACGATGGGAGAGAATCATTGATCGGCCGCCTCCTGCACACTCCCCACTGGTGATCGAGCCCGCAACCCACAGGCATGTGCCCTTGGCCGGAATCGAACCCGCGACCCCCCCAGTCTGCAGGCTGACGCTCCATCGACTGAGCCAAGCCGGCTAGGGCTGTTGTTGTTTTTCTAAAAAAATATTTTTCTTGATTTCAGGGAGGTAGGGAGAGGGAGAGAGAGAGGGAGAGATAGAAACATCAATGATTAGAGGGAATCATGGTTCGGCTGCCTCCTGCGTGCCCCACACTGGGGATTGAGCCCGCAACCCAGGCATATGCCCTTGACCCGAGTCGAACCCGGGACCCTTGAGTCCGCAGGCCAATGCTCTGTCCACTGAGCCAATCCGGCTAGGGCAGTGATGAGAATTATGGATCAGCTGCCTTCTACACGCCTCATACTGGGAATGAAACCCACAACCCAGGCATGTGCCCTGACCAGGAATGGAACCGTGAAATTCTCCTTCATAGGTTGATGCTTAACTACTGATCAAAATGGTACCTCCCTTTAGCTGACATTTCCTAGGGCCAGCCTTGCCCGGAATTGTAGGCATTGTCCTGGTCACTACTTCGCTAGACCAGGGGCTGTGTTTCAAGAGCCTTTGGCAAGGGTTATAGTTTTCCTAGTTCTCTTTTTTTGTTTATTTGTTTTTGTTCCAGTGCTGCTGTTCTGTAAAATGGTATGTATTTAAATTGTACAGCCCTAGCTGGTTTGGCCCAGTGAATAGAGCGTCGGCCTGCGGACCAAAGGGTCCCAGGTTCGATTCCGTTCAAGGGCACATGCCCGCGGTTGCAGGTCCATCCCCAGTAGGGGGCGTGCAGGAGGCAGCTAATCAATGAATCTCATCATTGATGTTTCCATCTCTCTCTCCCTCTCTCTTCCTTTCTGAAATCAATAAAAATATATTTTAAAAATAAATAAAACAAATAAATTGTACAATGTGGTGATTCTATATACATATACATATATACATATACATATATACATGTACATTATATACATATATACATATATACATATATATGTGTGTTGTGAAATAATTGCCCTAGTGAAGTTACTGAACACCTTTCATCAATTGACTCACTTTTGTTTGTTTATTTGTTTGTTTGGTATTAGCACTTAAGATGCCCTCTCCCAGTAACATTTTAGTGTAAAATACAGTATTATTAATTATAGTCACCATGTTTTACATTAGATCCTCAGAACTTACTCATAACTGAAGTTTTGTGCCTTTTCATCAATAACTCCTCATTTCTCCATTCTCATGGCCCTGACATTCAACTCTGAGTTCACCATTTTTTTTTCCACATGTAAGTGATATCATACAGTGTGTGTGTGTGTGTGTGTGTGTGTGTGTGTGTGTATTTGTAATCCTTACCAGTGAATATTTCTGTTGATTTATTGATAGAGTAAGGAAGGGGTAGGAGGGAGAGAAAGATTAATGTGAGATAGACACATCAATTGGTTACCTCCCACACACACCCTGTCCCACATCAGGAATCAAACCTGTCACTCAGGTACCTGCCTTGGACCAGGAATCAAACCCAAGACCCTTTGGTGCACAGGCCGATGCTGTAACCACTGAGCAACTCTGGCCAGAGCCACCAGTATTTATCTTTCTGTGACTCGCTTGTTGTATGTGGCATAATGCCCTTCAGGTTCATTCAAGTTGTTGCATATGGCAGGGTATTATTTTTTTGCCTCCTTTTTCATATTTATTTTTCATTTTCATTTCTTTTGGGTGGGGACCAGGTATTCTTTTTTAAGGCTGAATAATATTCCGTGTGTGTGTGTGTGTGTGTGTGTGTACCTGTTTTTTATCCTGTTATACATGAATGGACACTTAAGTTGTTTCTTTATTTTGTGTATTGTTTGTAAGAGTAGTACAGCGAAGACGGTACAGGTATCTCTTCCATATTCTTATTTCATTTCCTTTGGGTATATTCTTACAAGTGGTATTGCTGGTTCATGCGATAGTTCTACTTTGCTACTTTTGAGATATTTTCATACTGCTTTTCATATCGCCTTCAGGGATTCATATTTCTACCAACAGTGTGCAGTAAGCATGTCAAACTTGTGGCCTGCAGGCCACATGCGGCCCACAACGAATACTCATTAGTGATGACTCATTTATTTTAGCCCTTGGTTTTCAGCATGTCTCTATTAAAATAAACCTGCGTTTCTATGTAAATTAAAGCTTTTGTTTTTTTTGTGGCCCACCTACACTTAAACCTTGTTTATTTGGCCTGGGTTAGCCTCTGAGTTTGACATCATTGGTGTACAAGCATTTCTTTGTACATGTTTCCTAATATTTGCCTGTTGCCCTTTGGTGATAATCCTTTTTTCTTTCTTTTTTGACCCCTTATCCTCATATCTTGTGGCACGCACCATATTGCAAATATTAATTCCCTTGATGGCATCACATCAGTTACTAGGCATTTTCCAGTCTTTGGTCTCCTCTGACTGAATTATTTGAAATGACCTGATGCTAGATCACAAGTTTTTCTCCTGCTTCATTAAGTTGCCTTTGAAGTTCTCTGTTGCATTTTTCAGTTTATTCTTTGTATTCTTCAGGTCCAAAAACATTTTTTTTTTTTTTACTCATTTAAGAAAAAGTTTCTGGCCCTAACCAGTTTGGCTCAGTGGATAGAGCATCAGCCAGCGGACTCAAGGGTCCCAGATTCGATTCCGGTCCAGGGCTTGTACCTTGGTTGCAGGCACATTCCCAGTGGAGAGTGTGCAGGAGGCAGCTGATCGATGTTTCTCACTCATCGTTGTTTCTAACTCTCTTTCCTCTCCCTTCCTCTCTGTAAAAAATCAATAAGATATGAAAAGAAAAAGAAAAAGTTTCTGGCCCTAACCGGTTTGGCTCAATGGATAGAGCGTCGGCCTGTGGACTGAAGGGTCCCAGGTTCGATTCCGGTCAAGGGCATGTAACTTGGTTGCGGGCACATCCCCAATAGGGGGTGTGCGCAGGAGGCATCTCATCGATATTTCCCTCTCATTGATGTTTCTAGCTCTCTATCCCTCTGCTTTCCTCTCTGTAAAAAATCAATAAAATATATTTTAAAAAAATAAGAAAAAAGAAAAAGTTTCTGACTCTGAACCTGATGTGTTTGTTTGTGTGGTTTTCCCGATTTCCCTGAGTCATCTCTTTGTATATGCTTGGAGCTGGCTAAGCATGTATAAAACAATTAGTTTGAATTCTTTGTCCAGCAGTTTGTTGAGTTTATTTGCTGGAAACTTATTTTCCTTTGCTCCTTTGGTGATGACATGTTTCCTTGGTTTTTGTGTGTTTCTTATAGCCTTTTTTTTGATGTTTCCACTTTTAAAATGTATATATGTATGTATGTATATATATACATATATATATATAGGTGCCCAGTTATGGGCTCGATCCCCAATAGGGGACCTGCAGAAGTCACCCGATCAATGATTCTCTCTCATCATTGATGTTTCTATTTCTCCTTCCCTCTCCCTTCCTCTCTAAACAATAAAAATATATTTTAAAAAAAGAAAGAAACCGCAATGATGCGAGAGAATCATTGATTGGCTGCCCCTCCTTCATGCTCCCTACTGGGGATCATGCCCCCAACCAGTCATGTGTCCTTGACCAGAATTAAACCCAGGACCCTTCAGTACACAGGCCGACGCTCTGTCCACTGAACAAAACTGGCCAGGGGGTATGTCTCCATTTCTTTTTTTTTTTTTGTAATATATTTTATTGATTTTTCTACTGACAGGAAGGGAGAAGGATACAGAGTTAGAAACAGCTGCAGGAGGCAGCTGATGGATGTTTTCTCTCTCATCGATGTTTCTAACTCTCTATCCCTCTCCCTCCCTCTCTGTAAAAAATCAATAAAATATATATATTTTTAAAAAGCTATAGTCATACTGTAGCCACATTCCCAAACAGATTTTGATTCCCTTCATTGGAAAGCATCACATAGACTCATTCTTAGATATGACAGATACACACTTATGATAGCATCGACTTATTTTTTTTAATTTCAATTTTTTATTGTTTAAAGTATTACATCTGTCTCCTTTATCCCCCCCTTTAACCCTCTCCCTGGTGCTCCCACCCCCCTGCATGGCCCTATTCTTATAGTCAACCTGTACTTCACCAGCGTTTATTTGTGTTCAGGTGGCTGCTGTGGCGCAGAGGATGCAGACGCTCCCTGTGAACAGAGTGTTTCTGGAGGAGTGTCACCGTCCAGCCCCTCCAAGGCATCTCTGTCTTCCGTGAAGACCCACTTCTGTGAGAGCTGTGGTCCCGTCTTGAGCGACATATTCCAGTTGGCCGAGCACCAAGGAACACCACACAGCCAGCACGTGGTCAGGTGTGGGGTAGGTAGGAAACAATTTTATTTGGGTGCAAACTTCCAAAATCACCAGAAGCATCACCTGGCAAAGAAGCCCTTCAGAAGCTCTGTGGACAGGGCCCAGCTTGTGAAGAGCGATAAATTCCATGTTTCCGAGAAGCCCTCTCTCTGCGATGAAGTTGGGAAGGGCTTCCTGGCCACTTCAGAACGTCTCCAGCAGCAGACAACACCCACCAGACAGGAGCCCAACAAAACCGCCCAGTGCTGGGCACCTGCACAAAACAGAAAAAGTCGCTTTACCTGGGGAGACTGTAAGAAACCGTTCAGCCCTAGAAAGAAACACGCTCAGGTCCCGGATGTCCACCCTGGAAGTCAGTGTGTTGTGCGCCGTGAACGTGGGAAAACATTCAGAGATCAGTCCTCATTAGTTGTTCAGCAGAGAGTTCCCTTACGTGGGAAGCGTTGTGTGTGTGGCCAATGTGGCCAGTCCTTTTGGAGAACCTCAACCCTCAGTCAGCATCGACGATTTCACTGTGGGCCAAAGCAGTACAAGTGCGGCAAATGCGGGAAGTTCTTTCCCCCAAAATCTGTGCTCATTTATCCCTGGAGAAGTCACCCTGGGGAAAGATGTGAGTTGTGCCGTGAATGTGCGCCGTCTTTTAGCCGGAGATGCATCCTCATTCGACAACGGACAGTTCACTCTGGGGAAAGGCGTTATGAGTGCATGCAATGTGGGAAGTCCTTTAGAAGAAAATTTTACCTCATTCTGCACTGGAGAGTTCACACTGGAGAAAGGCCCCATGAATGCCGTGAGTGTGGGAAATCTTTCACCAGATCAGTCCTTACTCTACACCGGAGACTGCACACAGGAGAACGGCCTTTTCGCTGCAGCGAATGTAAGAGAACCTTTTCCGGTAGTTCCATACTCATTCTGCACCAGAGAGCACACACAGGAAAAAGGCCTTATGAGTGCAGTGAATGTTGGAAATCCTTTAGCCAACAATCTCACCTCAGTCAACACCAGATAGTTCACAGTGGAAGACAGTCTTATGAATGTAGTAATCATCAGAGAGTGCACAGCGGAGAAAGGCCTTATGAGTGCAGCGAATGCGGGAAGTCTTTTATCCAAAGGCATCACCTCATTACACACCGGAGAGTTCACACCGGAGAAAGGCCACACCAGTGCAAGGACTGTGGAGAGTTTTTTGCTTCTGGTTTTAACCTCCGAAATCATCAGAGAATTCACACCGGAGAAAGGCCTTATGAGTGTAGCGAATGTGGCAAGTCCTTCATCCAAAAATGTTACTTTCTTACCCACCTGAGAATTCACACAGGAGAACGGCCTTATGAGTGCAGTGTATGTGGGTCATCTTTTACCACTAATTACGCCCTCCATAAACATCAGAGAGTTCACACAAGCAAAAGGCCGTATGCGTGTACTGAATGTGGGAAATCCTTTAGGACAAATTCTTACCTCATTGAACACTGGAGAGTTCACACCGGAGAAAAGCCTTACCAGTGTAGAGAATGTGAGAAATCCTTTTCAACGAGAAGAGGCCTACGTTATCATCAGAGTGTTCACACCGGATTAAAGCCTTTTGAGTGTAGTGAATGCGGGAAATCTTTTCCCTGTAGCTCAGCACTCATTCGACATCAAAGAACTCACACAGGAGAAAGGCCTTACGTGTGTGTTGAATGTGGGAAATCCTTTATCCGAAGGCATCGTCTTGTTGAACACCAGCGCATTCACACAAAAGCCTGAGGATTGTAGAGAATATGGGCGATCTTTCCCTCTCCCCCACCCGCCCTGGGAAATCTTTTAAGAATACTTTCTAGTCCAATTAACAGTGGATAGTTCATAAGGGAGAAAGGTGCTTCATTCCAAAAATATGCTAAATCCTTTAGCCATAAATCTTCCCTTTCTTAGCGCCTGGGACATAATGTTGGTGAAAGGTCTCATGAGTGTACTGAACGTATGAGATGTTTTAGCTGTATCTATGGTGTTTGTTTTTATCTGAGAGTTCACGTAGGTTGAAGGCTGTATGGTGCAGCAAATGTGAAAAATCGTTTACCCATAGCTTGCCAGTCTTTCCATCCCTGTCAGTTCACTCAATTGAATGGTCTTAGGGCTGCATGGAATTTGCGGAAATCATTTTCCGAAAGAATTTATCTTATTGTACAGTGTAGAGTTTGCACTAGAGCAGCGGTTCTCAACCTGTGGGTCGCGACCCCCGTGGCCGTCGAACGACCCTTTCACAGGGGTCGCCTAAGACCGTCCTGCATATCAGATATTTACATTACGACTCATAACAGTAGCAACATTACAGTTATGAAGTAGCAACGAAAATAATTTTATGGTTGTGTCACATGAGGAACTGTATTTAAACAGCCAGAAGGTTGCCCTAACCGGTTTGGCTCAGTAGATAGAGCATCAGCCTGCGGACTCAAGGGTCCCAGGTTCGATTCTAGTCAAGGGCATGTACCTTGGTTGCGGGCACATACCCAGTAGGGGGTGTGCAGGAGGCAGCTGATTGATGTTTCTCTCTCATCGATGTTTCTAACTCTCTATCTCTCTCCCTTCCTCTCTGTAAAAAATCAATAAAATATATTTGAAAAATAAAAATAAAGGGCCAGAAGTTTGAGAACCACTGCACTAGAGAAATATTTCAGACTCGCAAGGGAATGCGAAATTTTCTTCCTTCTAGACTCTAGAAGAATCCAGGAGAAACCATCTGTATTCAATCTCCTGTGTCTCGTTATCAAAGTTGGGAGATAACCTTTAAGTTGTCGTTACGTGGGAAACATGTAAAGGGTGTCCCAAAATTCACGCAAGAAGTAATTTTGAAAAATGGTCTTCATTGGTCTTCATTGTCCCTGCTCCTGGGCCATCATTGGTGCTTGGTAATGCTTATCAAATTGAAGGGATTGACATCAAAGGGCAACAGATATTAGAATCTGATTCAATATACCCAGTAAAATTGGGCGTTTTTTGTTGTTGTTGTTGTTGTTAATGCTCACGCAAAATTCAAATCTTGCGTGAATTTTGGGACACCCTTTATATGTGTTGCAGTTTCTAACCTGACGGTTTCTGTTTTCAAAGCCACATCGCCCTCCCACATACCTGGTCTCCACAGGTTGTGTCAGTTATCATCCTCACGTGCTCCAGGAAGCTGACTGCTCTTCTCCCATGTATTGGAGGAAATTAGGCGTAACCTCAACTCTTGGGAATTCCCACTGGGCTCAGAGACTATGGCATGAGTCTGGCTAGCGGGCCGCGTTCTCCCATGAATCTTTTCAACTTCCGCTTCGCCAGCCCGAACTGTCCCATGCACACTGCTTTGGTTTCTACAATACTAAGTCCCTGCTCTGAAAGTCCTCTTCCATTTCGGATGTTCTGTTTACTGTGTGGGATGTTTTATAAACATAATTTGAATCCACAAGTGTGAAGGGTGAACTTTTTTAAAAATATATATTTTATTGATTTTTTACAGAGAGGAAGGGAGAGAGAGAGAGAGTTAGAAACATCGATGAGAGAGAAACGTTGATCAGCTGCCTCCCGCACACCCCCACTGGGGATGTGCCCGCAACCAAGGCACATGCCCTTGACCGGAATCGAACCTGGGACCCTTCAGTCCACAGGCCGACGCTCTATCCACTAAGCCAAACCAGTTTCAGCAGGGTTGAACTTTTAAAAAATACATTTTTTATTGATTTCAGAGAGGAAGGGAGAAAGAGAGAAAGGTAAAACGACAATAATGAGAATCATGGATGGACTGCCTCCTGCACGCCCCCTACTGGGGATCAAGCCCACAACCCAGGCATGTGTCCTTGACCGGAATCAAAGCTGGAAACTTGTCTACAGGCCAACTTTGTGTTCTTCATGGGCATAGTATAATGGCAACATACAGCTTCCTGGTTTTGCTAAGTTTCCATTCTTGCCAAAAACCTCCTAGGGAAGGTGGCAGGGCTTTCTGGTGCTCATTTGAAGCCTGGAGGCTATGAGTTTCAGGAGATTCGGAAATCACTCTGAGCCGAAACCGGTGTGGCTCAGTGGATAGAGTGTCGGCCTGCAGACTGAAGGGTCCCGGGTTCGATTCTGGTCAAGGGCATGTACCTGGGTTGCGGGCACATCCCCAGTGGGGGGTGTGCAGGAGGCGGCTGATCGATGTTTCTCTCTCATCGATGTTTCTGACTATTTCTCTCCCTTCCTCTCTGTAAAAAATCAATAAAATGTATTTTTAAAAAAAAGAAAAGAAAAGAAATCACTCTGAGATCGCCCCAGCTGGTTTGGCTCAGTGGATTGAGGGTCGGCCCGTGGTCTGAAGTGTCTCAGGTTTGATTCCAGTCAGGACCATTTAGAAAAACCAAAAGAGGAACCACCCTGAGGAGGGGGTCAGATGGGACATTCTCAAGTGCTTCTTGGAGAAGCATGAATTTTTGCCTTGTTCCCAGGAGATAATCTCAGGGGATGAGGAGGGGAGTCTGTGTCTTAAGTCCCGCAAAAAAAAGTTTTCCCGTTGTTCTCCCCTAACCACTATGGTCGTATGGGTTAGGGGAGACAACAACTGCTACGGAAACGACACTGGACTAGAGGGGACTTAGCCAAAGAGATGCAACGTGCTCCTTCCAATGTAAATCCACAAATGTTTCTGTAACAGTGGCTGTGCAGGATCAGGGTGTACACAAATGTCAGATTCTCCAGTCATGTTTGTCTTGTGTAGCTGAAGTTTCTTTTTTGTTTGTTTGTTTTAATACATTATTTTTTATATACATTTTTATTGATTTCAGAGAGGAAGGGAGAGGGAGAAATAGAAACATCAATGATGAGAGAGAATCATCTACCGGCTGCCTCCTGCATGCCCCCCACTGCGGGGGGATCAAGCCCGCAACCCGGGCACATGCCCCTGGCCGGAATCAAACCCGGGACCCTTCAGTCCACAGACTGACGCTCTATCCACTGAGCCAAATTGGCTAGGGCTGTAGCTGAAGTTTTTTTTCAGAGAAAATAAAAGTTTTGTGTATTCCTGTAGGGATGATGACCTCAAGGCCATTGTTGCACAGATAGGGAAATAAAGATAAAGGAAAGTATTGCAGGGATATGGCTCTTATCACCCAGCCTACATTCTTTTTTTCTTATTTTTTAATTTTTATTGTTGAAAGTCTACAAGTGACCCACTTCGGAACAAAAGATTCACATAGGATGAGAGTGAAGGAATGGCAAAAAGTTTTCCGTGTAAATTAAAACAAACAAACAAACAAAAAAGCTGTGGTAGCAATACTCATAACAGCCTGCATTTTTTAAAATTGATTTTAGAGAGGAAGGGAGAGGGAAAGTGAGATAGAAACATCAATGATGAGAGAGGATCATTGATCGGCTGCTTCCTGTAGATCGAGCCCATAATCCAGGGATTTGCCCTTGACCCGAATCGAACCAGGGACCTTTCAGTCTGCAGGCCGATGCTCTATCCACTGAGCCAAACTGGCTAGGACTAGATTTTTTTTTTAATGTCTCTTTTAACAACAACAACAAGATGTTATTGATTTTACAGAGAGAGGTAGGAAGAGGGGGACAGAAACATTCAGCTGCCTCCTGCATGCACCCCAGCAGGGTATGGAGCCTGCAACCTGGGCACATACCCTGACCTGGAATCGAAACAGAGATCTTTCAGTGCACAGGACAATGCCTGACCAAGTGAGCCTCACAGGCCAGGGCCATAGAGGGTTTTTTTTTAAATCTTGAGTCATTTTTTTTATAGCTTTTAAAAAGTATAATTTCTTTTTTGAAATATTTTATTTATTTTTTACAGAGAGGAAGGGAGAGGGAAAGGGAGTTAGAAACATCGATGAGAAAGAAACATCAATCAGCTGCCTCCTGCACACTCCCCACTGGGGATGTGCCCGGAATCGAACCGGGGACCCTTCAGTCCACAGGCCCATGCTCCATCCACTGAGCCAAACCGGTTAGGGCTACATATTGTTTACAGTAACAAAATTACAGTGATGAAGTAGCACCGAGAATAATTTTATGGTTGGGGGTGGTCACCACAACATGAGGAACTCTATTAAACGGTAGTGGAGGTTGAGAACCACTGCCTTGGGAGAACACCAGGTCTTTAGAGTGCTAGGAACTACATTACCCAGAAGGCCACGCGAATAGCGCCTTTCGGTGCGTGCGTCCTGGGGGAGGGACTTCGGTCGCCTCTGGACCGGCCGGTTGCTGGGCGCGCGCTCCAATCGCGAGCGAACGGGCTAGGCGAAGCGGTGGGCGTGGCTAGAACGTCCGGCGAGAGAAGTGGGTGTGAGGCTCCCCCAGGCGCCTGGGTCGCTCGCGTGGCGAACTGATCGCGGACCCGGCCCTGCGCCTCCCGCACCCCGCAGCTCCCAGCTCAGAGTCCGAACCCGTCCCTCCTGTAGCCCCGACCCCGCGACCGCGAGGAAGGCCGAGGGCCGAGCTGCGGGTCGGGGTTCCTGGGGCGCAGCAGATCCGCGCCCGGGGGAAAGGGGGTGCTGGCGCCTGATGGGGACCGAAAGGGGCGCAGGGTGGCTCCTGCTGGGGGCTCCTCGGGGCGGGGGTCGCGGCTGATGGTGTGGAGCGTGTGAGTCACCGGGAGCCGTGAGCTCGGACACGGGTGAGGGGTTGGTGTTTGTGACGCGGGGCAGGGAGGTAGCGGGGCTGGGGAATAGAGTGCTAGGAACTACATTACCCAGAAGGCCACGCGAACCGGTCCATTGGCAGCCTGATAGCGCCTTTCCTGGCGTGCGTCCTGGGGGTGGGTCAGGGACGGTGGGCGGAGGATAGAGTGCTAGGAACTACATTACCCAGAAGGCCACGCGAACCCGTCCATTGGCATCCTGATAGGGTCTTTCCTGGCGTGCGTCCTGGGGGCGGGGATTCCGGTCTCCTCTGGACCGGCCAGTTGCAGGCCTCGCGAACGCGCGCGATTGGAACGAACGGGAGAGACGACGCGGTGGGCGTGGCTGGAACGTCCCGCCCAGGGGAGTGGGTGTGAGGCTCC